TTTTCTTCATCCACTCTTCTGTTGACGGGCATCTAGGTTGTTTCCAGGTTCTGGCTATTACAAATAGTGCTGCTATGAACATAGCTGAGCATGTGTAACTCTATGGTATGTATCAGCATTCCTTGGGTATATGCCCAAGAGTGGGATGGCTGGGTCTTGAGGTAGTTCGATTCCTAATTTTCTGAGAAACTGCCATACGGATTTGCACAGATATTTATGTTTATGTTTTATTTTCTTTATATTTATTCTTTCATAGAGTACATCCTGACTGCATCCTCTACCGCATCCTTTCCTCCCAGTTGCCCCTCACCTCCTCTCTCTACCAGATCCACTGTGCTCTGTGTCCCTTTAGAAAAGGGCAGGCTCCAAGGGATAGCAACTGAACATGGAATGACAAGATGCAATAAGATTATATTAAAATATTTGGTTTTGTTCTAGAAAAAATTTGTGCTTAAATTATCAGTTCCCTCTTTAAATGCTACCCAATTTTCATTTTTGAAAATTTAATCTTTTATTTCCATATGTTTTTTCTCTCAAGTATAGAAAACATTTTCAAAATTACTGGACTAAATTTGAATAATTTTTTTCATTTTTCTTTATTAAGAAATTTTCTACTCACTCTACATACCACCCACAGATCCCACCTCCTACGTCTTCTCACCCCCCAGCCCTCTCTCACAAGCCGCCACACATACCAACATCCCCTAAATCAAGGTCTCCCATGGGGAATTAGCAGAGCCCAGCACACTGAGCCTAGGCAGGTCCAAGCCCCTTCCAACTGCACCAAGGCTGCCCAAGATATCACACCACAGGCACCAGATTCCCAATGGCCTGCCCATTCACCAGGGATGGATCCTGATCCCCCTGCCTGGGTGCCTCCCTAACAGTTCGAGCCAAACTACCATTTTCCATATCCAGAGGGCCTAGTACAGTCCCATGGGAGTGCCAAAGCCACTAGTATACAGATCATGTGCTTCCTCTAGTGTGACTGTTCATCTCTGCATGTCTTTCCATCATGATGTGGATGTCCCCTGATTGCAGAATCCCTCCTCTGTCTCATCGATTGGATTCCCAGAGCTCAGCCTGGTGCCTGGCTGTAGATCTCCATATCTGCCTCCATCAGTCACTGGACAAAGACTCTATGATGACAGTTGGGTATTTACTAGACCGATCACCAGAGTAGACCAGTCCAGGCACCCTCTGGACCACTGCCAGGAGTCCAAGGTGGGGTATCCTTGTGGATTCCTGAGAGACCGCCAGGACCCTTCCTATTCCTATTCCTATGATGTCCTCATCTATCATGGTATCTCCCTCCCTGCCCTCCCACTCTGTCTCTGTTCCAGCTTGACCCTCCCATTTCCCTATGTTCTCATCCCCGACTCTTTGCCCTCTGCCAACACCCCCTCCCCCCCCACACCCAGTCCACTCATGTAGATCTCATCCACTTCTCCTTTGCTGTGTCACCCATGTCTCCCACAAAGGGTCTTTTCTTATTAGATAGCCTCTCTGGAGCTGAGGGTTGCAGTCTGGCCATCCCTTCCCTCACATCTGGTATCTACTTATGAGTGAGTACATACTATGTTTATCCTTCTAAGTCTGGGTACCTCACTCAGGATGATATTTTCTAGTTCTACCCATTTGCCTGCAGACCTCATGATGTCATTGTTTCTCTCTGCTGAGTATCCTAGGTTTTTGTTTTTCCATGTAAAGTTAAGTTTTGTTATTTCCACGTCTGTGAAGAATTGTGTTGGGATTTTGATGGGGATTGCATGGAATCTGTAGATTGCTTTTGGCAAGATTGCCATTTTAATATGTTAATTCTACTTATCCATGAGCATGGGAGATCTTTCCATTTTCTGATATCTTCTTCGATTTCTTTCTTTAGAGACTTAATTTTTCCCCCTTTTGGTGTGTATTTCTCTGTTACCCATTTCTTTTTTCTTTTTCCCCATTTTTTATTATTATTTTATTTTACTTTACAATACTATTCAGTTGTACATAACAGCCACAGATTCCCTTGTTCTGCCCCTTCCTGCCCCCTCCCCTTCCCCCCAGCACAACCCCCATTCCCACCTCCTCCAGGGCAAAGCCTCCCCTGAGGACTGAGATCGACCTGATAGACTCAGTCCAGGCAGGTCCAGTCCCCCTCCTCCCAGATTGAGCCAAGTGT